TGTATGTTGAGGTCATATGAAGCCGATTTTGGATATTGGGCCATTTCCTTCCACCCCTTGGGTTTATTCCCAACTTTCGAATTCTCTTGATGGCCTCTACTATGGCCCTGGTGGGGGTGGGGGTGGAACCTTTCTTCCTCCGTGAGCAGCGTCCACACTTGCTGGAGCACTTTGCAGCAATGCCTGTGGGCAAATTCGAAATGGGTTTTATTGATATCACCGCAAAGACGTTCTTATTCTGGACACTTCTGAAAGGAACTATTGCAAGATTGCAAGCCGTGGTGATGAAGAATTGCATTTTCCCACTAAGGCAACACAATTACTGCTGTTCATTTTTCACTTCAACTGAGAAAAGGGGATATCTAACTCTGAGACTCTTTATATATATATATATTTTCTAGGGAAAGGGAATAAACTCTTGGACTGCTCTATAACTACAGGTTAATTTCATCTCAACGTGATTGTGAGCATAAAGAGCTTCTCTTTTTTTTCTGTCTGGAATTAGAGATATCACTGAGAAATATCTGCGAGATTTTAAAAAGTTATAATGAAATTAATTTAAGGCTCTGTAGATTTTAGCCATCAAGAAAACATTCTTTTGGAAGTTGTCCTGCTTAAAATAGTTTCAGTCAATAAACCCCACATCCAACAAAGTTTTTTCCAGTTATTTTAACAGTGCCCTCTTTATTTCATGAATTTATTATACAACCTTATTTACCATATGAAGTGGTGACAAGTGTTTAGCATTTTGGAGATCAGTTGTCAGTTGCTATTAAAGTCAAGATTAATTCATATTAACGATATGCATTTCTCAATACTCCCAGGTGACAACATACATTAAAACAACTATTGCAAGTAATTAAGCTCAATAAAGGAGGAGGGGACAGGGAGAGGTTCAAAACACCCCCAAATAGTTGATTTTGCAATCCAAGTTCAGCAGACTGTTGCCACAATAATGCTCCGGAAACTCCTCAGGGTTGCTTTTCACTTTACATCTAATTAGGCACCTAATGAAAGAGAAGAATTTTTCCCCCTGTGGTTTTTCTCCCTGATAGTTTTTTTAAGGGTGCTTTTTATTTAATCCCTTCACCTTGTTCACCCAGCCCCCAACCCTCACCCCTCTAACAGCTGTGAGTCTGTTCTCTGTATCTATGAGTCTTTTTCTATTTTGTTTCTAAGTTTATTTTGTTGTTTATTAGATTCCATCCATAAGTGAAATCATATGGTACTTATCTTTCTCTGATTAACTCATTTCACATAGCGTAATACTCTCCAGATCCTGCTATGCTGTCCCCAAAGTTAAGAGTTCATCCTTTTTATGGCCAAGTAGTATTCCATTGTGTAAATGTACCACAGTTTTCTTATCCACTCATCTACTGGTGGGCACTTGGGCTGCTTCCAACTGTTGGTGATTGTAAATAGCACTGCAATAAACTTGACGGTTCATATATTCTTTCAAACCAGTGTTTGGGGTTTCTTCAGACATATTCCCAGATGTGGAATCCCTGGGTCATCAGGCAGTGTCATAGTTAATTTTTGAGGAAACTCCATACTGCTTTCCACAATGGCTACCCCAATCTGCATTCCCACCAACAGTGCACTAGGGTTCCCTTTCCTCCACACTCTCGCCAGCACTTGTTGTTTGTTGACTTATTGATGATAGTGATTCTGACAGGTGTGAGGTGATATCTCATTGTGATTTTAATTTACATTTCTCTGACGACTTAATGATGTTGTGCATCTCTTCATATGCTTATTGGCCATCTCTGGATCCTCTTTGGAGAAGTGCCTATTCAGGTCTTTTGTCCATTTTTTAATGTTGGATTTTTTTTTTGGTGTTGAGTCTCCTTAATGTTCTTATGTCTTTATTTAAACACATAAACAACCTCTTTAGGAGTGTGAGACCCAGAGTCTCTCCTGAGGCTCACTTAGGACTGTAACCTGGGGAGTTTAGGTCGATGTAGACATTTGTCATCCAGTCGCTGCCACCCTGCCACTCTCATCACCCTTGTTGCCCTTACACAGAACTGATAGGAAAAACATACCCAAAATCTCTGAATGGATTTTATTAGGTTTTAGAGATGCTCAACAGTTTACACTAATTAGACCATCCAAAGCCTTTTGAAGATTAAGCAAATTGGACACCCCTTGTTAATTAGAACATAATTTGAAGTTTGAAATTATATCACTGACGAAGTAGTCTAATTAGTATGATGATATGTGAATGGACCAGTGAGACACAGCCACCGCGCAGTTTGGTGTGAACCTCTCCAGGGCTTGCACAAAAATCCTTTCTCCTACGCCGGCATTAATAAAAGATTTCTATAGACTCCAGCCTTTCCGCAATGACATACAATTTATAGTGCACGCAATGCATTAGCCCATAGTGCTGTTCAATTTTTTCACTATTATGAAAACTAATAAATTCGTCAAGCTGAATTAAGCATACAAATCAGATGAGGCATAGCAGATTACACAGTGAAGCACGGTGTCTCCCGAGCCTAAATGAAATTTCAATCTAATAATTCCTTCCTGGCCCAGTCATAATTTGTTTAGAGATGTTGCTCTACTTCTTTCAAAGCGCTATTCGCACTATAATTAAATGATACTCAAGCTTTTAACTTTGATTTATTTCATTTCTTGAAGCTGGAGACAGTGAAAGCTGTACAATGTCATTTTTTGTATTTCCTTGAAAATTACCCTGGCTGTTGTTGATACAGAAATTAAACACCTAAGCATTTACTACAACCGTCCGGCCCAAGCCACATTTATTCACGTCAACACCCTCTCTCCATTTCCGTGCCCAGGCTTCTCAACACTACTGGCAGGAACCCCCTTGGGCTACTATTTACTTGTTCCTCCACAGAAGGGAGGAGAAAGGCAAAGCCCGGAGTAGCGCGGGAAAGCGCAGGACAGCGCAGGACAGCGCATGGGTGTTAAGGACCATGGACAGAGCCCGTCGCACGCAGTTTGCTGCGGCCCTCCCAGTCCTCTGGGGACTTCGCGCGTACTACGCTCCCAACTTGAACCTGCCCTCGGTCCCCGCTGAGGTCAGGGGTGAACCGGCGGCCCCTTCTTGCTGCTACCTGGGGGCTTCCGAGTGCTGACCACTCGAGGACCCTCCTTCGCCATGCTCCTTCCCACTTTGTTTTGTCCCAGCCAGCGCCAGCGCCTCTCAGGCCTGCCGCCTGCTCTCGCACCTGCTCGCCTTCCCCAGGCACCCGGTGTCTGCACCTGCTCTCAGCTACCCCCGTCCGGGTGGGGCCACCCGCGGGCTCCAGCGTTTGGGTCTCGGGGCCTTCTCACCCTCACCTGCACCCCGTTCGTTCCTCACTCTGGAAAGGTGACGGCAGCCCCCAGCGCTGAGGGGAGCAGATGACACCGCAGCAGGGAGAAGGAGAGGAAGACTGTGTGTGCGCAGGAGAGGTTATCCCCTTCTTTTACAACTGGAACTCTGTGTGACCACTTCTAAGAAAAGTGGTCCCCACTGGGACAAAAGTGCGAGCAAAGTATTGGCTAAAAATAGGCTGTCTCTGCGCCGAGTGGCTGTGGGAACGAAGATACGCGGGACTTGTGCCAACCCCAGGGCGTGTGTGTATGGCGGGGGGTGGGGGGGTGGGGTGGGGGGATGTTCAGTAGCACATGCGCTCTGTGATCTCTGGCCCTGCCTCTCCTTCTGTCAGTTGCCCCTTCCTCCTTTGATTGTAGCTAATGAAGAATAATCAATCCGGTAGCGGGGTTTGTCCGTGGATCTGTCCAAGACCCAATTCACACTGAACTGGATACAAGGAGGAGAAGGAGAAAGATGCGGGTGAAGAGAAAAGAGGGTGGAGAGGAGTGTGTGTCTGTGGTAGTGCTGAGGGAGTACAAGGGGACAGGGGGCGGTGGGGGGGGGGGGAGTCGCATGCGCACAGGCGACCCGGGCCGGCTCCGCGGCTGTCCAATCCGCTGAGAGCTTCGAGAAACCGAGTGAGAGAAAGCCCTGCAGCCCTGCCGACCCCTTGTCTCTTCGGCACCAGGCACCCGCCGGGCCGAGGGGGCGCAGAGCAGATCACCAACCGCTGAGCGCACAGGACCGCAGCGCAGAGCAGCTCGGAAAAACCTGGTCGGCGTCAGCGTTGGCGTCCACCGCGGTGGCGGGGAGCCTGGGATCCGGGTCACCTGAGCTGCGGGGTGGGGTGGGACGAGTGGGAGGCTTGGAACACAGCCGTAAACAAGGGGCGGGGGAGGCAGCCAGGTAAGAGGCGTTCCTAGTTGTCCAGGGCAAACCTCACCGGAGGTTGCCGTGGTCGCGCAACTTTATTTAGGAGTTTCTTTTCCCACCGAGGCGGGGACGGAGAGAGGGAAGCTGGAGGGGTTGGAGGCTGGCTCCTAAGTAGGAGCTGCCCCGCGAGTGGAGTGTAGACCTGGCCAGTGGGGTGGGGTGGAGTGGGAGCACTAAGGTAAGTGAGGGCTTCGGGGAGCCGGGAAGGGGCGTTGGCATCCGAGCGTAGGCGGGGGCAGGAAGGGGAGGTGGAGGGCGCAGCTCGGGAGCGAGAGGCGCGTATCTGGAGATTGGAAGGGGCCCAAGACAGGAGGGAGCAAAAAAGGAGAAGGGGCTACGCTAGAATCCGAGCTGGAGAGACCCACGTTTCCTGGCAGGGGAGGGAGGAGGCGCGCGCGGGAGGGAGGGAGGGAGGAAGGGAGGGCGGGCGGGGGGTGCGGGGGCAGGCGCGGGGAGAGGGGAGTATAATTCGGCGGCCGCGAGGTGCGGGGGCAGTTTCGGGCGCCCAGGTCTGCAGCCAGCGCCAAGCGGAGCGCAGCATCCTCTCAGACTGACGCCGCAGCCAGCGGAGGAACGCGTAGCCGGTGCAAGGCGCGCGGAGCTGAGCTGCCGCGGTTGAGCGCAACTTTTCACAGCCCTTCCGGGCTGCCGCTCCCGCCCAGCACTTCTCCGGAGGGTCCCGGCAGCCGGCGTCAGTGCGTGCGCTTTCGGAGAAGCGCCCAGGAGTGTCGGGAAGATGATGATGATGTCCCTGAACAGCAAGCAGGCATTCAGCATGCCGCACGGCGGCAGCCTGCACGTGGAGCCCAAGTACTCGGCCCTGCACAGCGCCTCGCCAGGCTCCTCCGCTCCCGCAGCGCCCCCGGCCAGCTCTCCGAGCAGCTCCAGCAACGCCGGCGGCGGCGGCAGCGGTGGTGGGGGCGGTGGAGGCCGGAGCAGTAGCTCCAGCAGCAGTGGCAGCAGCGGCGGCAGCGGCGGGGGCTCCGAGGCGATGCGAAGAGCGTGTCTTCCAACCCCACCGGTGCGTATTTCTGCATAATCACCGCTTAAAGGCACATTTTGACAGCCCCCTTTATCTGCTTGATGTTTTTTTCATGTCTGCACAGCAAATCACCCCACACCTCCAACCAATTTCCCCCCCTCTCTCTTATGTATTCAGCGGGTCTTCCCTTTCATATTAATTTTATGACCTGGGATGTTGCCTGTGCGCGTGTTGTGTGTTGTTTGCAGGCTCACTTTCCTCCTCCTCGTGTGCTCTCGGTTTCTCTGGGTGGCTCCTCCGCACCTGTTATTTTCGGGATTATTATTAGTACTATTAATTATTATTATTTTAACATTCTGGGGATGTGGTAGGCGCGGCCGCGGTGTGGAGCGAAGGGCCAGGGCTTCCGGAGAGAGCGCGCACAATTCCCTGCTGAGCGTAATGTGTGCCTTTTACTTGCAATTGCAGAGCAATATATTCGGCGGGCTGGATGAGAGTCTGCTGGCCCGCGCTGAGGCTCTGGCGGCCGTGGACATCGTCTCCCAGAGCAAGAGCCATCACCACCATCCGCCCCACCACAGCCCCTTCAAGCCGGACGCCACATACCACACTATGAACACCATCCCGTGCACGTCAGCTGCCTCCTCGTCGTCGGTGCCCATCTCGCACCCCTCGGCGCTCGCGGGCACGCACCACCACCACCATCACCACCACCACCACCACCATCAGCCGCATCAGGCGCTCGAGGGAGAGCTGCTGGAGCACCTGAGTCCCGGGCTGGCCCTGGGTGCCATGGCGGGCCCCGACGGTGCCGTGGTATCCACGCCAGCTCACGCGCCGCACATGGCTACCATGAACCCCATGCACCAGGCAGCACTCAGCATGGCCCACGCGCACGGGCTGCCCTCACACATGGGCTGCATGAGCGACGTGGACGCCGACCCCCGGGACCTGGAAGCATTCGCGGAGCGCTTCAAGCAGCGACGCATCAAGCTGGGAGTGACCCAGGCCGATGTGGGCTCTGCGCTGGCCAACCTCAAGATCCCCGGCGTGGGCTCGCTTAGCCAGAGCACCATCTGCAGGTTCGAGTCCCTAACGTTGTCGCACAACAATATGATCGCGCTCAAACCTATCTTGCAAGCCTGGCTCGAGGAGGCCGAGAAGTCCCACCGCGAGAAGCTCACCAAGCCCGAGCTCTTCAACGGCGCGGAAAAGAAGCGCAAGCGCACGTCTATTGCGGCTCCCGAGAAGCGCTCGCTGGAAGCCTACTTTGCCATCCAGCCTCGGCCCTCCTCGGAGAAGATTGCGGCCATCGCGGAGAAGCTGGACCTTAAGAAAAACGTGGTGCGCGTCTGGTTCTGCAACCAAAGGCAGAAACAGAAAAGAATGAAATATTCCGCGGGCATTTAGGAGACCTTCGGCCTCTCCAGGGACAACCCCCTCCTCATCCCCTCCCCGCCCCCCTCTTTTCCTTGCCTCTTTTCTTTCCACTTTTGGTGACCAGAAATAATTCCAGTAAATGTGAATCCAGAGAAAGCAGGGACTGAAGAGCGAAAGAGCGAGGAAATGCGCTCCAAGCCCAATGAGAACGTGACACGACTTCTCCAAGGAAAGAAAAATAAAAGAAGGGATTTATCAAGTCGTAGCAAAGTTGTCCCTATTAACCCCACCCCGCCCCGGAAAAGGCACCTCTGCTTCTTCAGAGGAAGTCCGGAGTTGGCTGTTAGGAGGAAGGCAGACGAAACAGCCTTTTGAAAGGCCCCCAGAATGATCAAGTAAGATTTGTTTTTATTCCTAAAGACATCATCCTTGTTCCAGCTTAAAAGTACACTTTGCAGCTATTTTTCAGAAATAGAAATTGATTCAGGACTGAAACTTTAAACTAGAGTTGATGCTTAATGTGATAGAGACATCTCTAAAGTATTTTGAATTTTAAAAGAAGATGGCAGATTTTCTGCATTTACACTGTATATTATATATATATTTTTATTGTGGTTCTTACCCCCTTCTTCCTTCTCTGAAGTGTTAATGCTTAAGAAAGGAGTTTCGCCTGCTGTGTTCACTGATCTTAAAAGCTATTATTAGATTATTGCCGAACAACCCTCTGTAAATTATTAATTTATCTCTCTAGCAACTTAATTTGTGCACATTCTAATTAATTAAACTTCTTCAGTGATAAAAACGGGGGAAATGTACGACTAGTGAAGTTAAAAATGTTATGTTTGATGAGTTTACTGCATTTTTACAGCTTCCCTCTTCCCCTGTGTTTCTTTCAGCCCATTTGTATATTCCCACTTTGAATGAAGACTTTTTTCTTTGTTTTTCCTGGTCGTGTTCTGATTTGTGAGTCGACACGCAGTAATGGATGTCTTAATCGTGTAGACCTGATTCACTGTCCAAAGTATTGTTTACTTTGTTACATATTTAATGGGGATTCCCACATTGTCCCTGACACACACCCGCTCTCACCCTTTTACACACACACACACACACACACACACCTCTAATGGAAGAGAAATGAAGCAGTTGGAAGCATGACTATAATGCATCATTTTCTGGCTTTAGATGCATTTGCCACTTGGTGTTTGTTCTTCCAGATTCTAAGATTCCACCAAGGTACTTCAGTCTTCTAGTTTTCAATTGCTTTGTTGACTACATTTAAACATTTACAGGATTCCTTCGGTTTTTCCTTTTAGAGGTTTGTTTGTAGAAAAACTGATTTGAACTATAAGAAAGACAGTGCACTGCTTGTAAATTCACATTGTTTGGTAGAATTCCTTTGGAACAAAAAATTTAGGTACACAGCGACTTGTACCTTATCTATTGTAAATATTTCATTCAAAATGATGCACATATAGATATATTCTTACAAATTTTGCTGTATTGCTGTTCCATTTGAGGCTCTCTGAAGTCTTGAGTTCTGTATATGACCTGGTTTCTTGTTTTTGTTAATAGATGGTTTATTTACTATGGTAATGTATTATTTTTGGTGTTGTTTGATTGTCTTTCATTGAAGAGATGATTTTAATGTTTTATTGGCAAAGTATGCTGCTTTTTCATTAAAATATGCTATTAAAATCAAATAGCTTTTGAATGTGATGCTGTTTTAAATCACTTACATTGGAATTATTTTGATGGGTTTTTTTAACAGCAGGAACACATTTTGATGGTTTATTATGGAGTTTTTTTTTTCTTTTTAAATCAAAGTCTGACTTGGATTTAGTAGTGGGTTTTCTCTACGACAATATAAAAGAACAAGGTTTTTAATGTCTTTCTCGTAGCCTGGGCTCATCTCACCAGATGCTTTGCCTTCTCTGCCCAGTTGAGATTGTGATATTTGGCTCTAAATGCCTCCCTTGGAGTCCTTTCCCCAGATATGCAATAATACTGCAAAGGGAATCTTTGTGCTCAGAGGTGTTGCATGGGTAAAAGGAAGTAAGAAACTTAGGTCAGTTTTCAGTGGCACTGGGAGACTGGGTGTGGCAAGAGTCAAGACGTAGTCAGGGTGTAGGACACCCTGATGGAGGCCTAGGGACTGACCCACCACAGTTCTCAGTTCAGTCATCACACATAGGAAGCAGTGCCCCAAAGCCAGAGCAGGAAGTAAAGTATCTATCTGTCTACCTATCTATCTCTCCATCTTTCTATCTATTTATCTCCTCACCCTCACCTTTAAGGAAACTCACATTCTCAAATAATAGGCAGAATGGGTGGGGTGGGATTGAGGAAGAAATCCTGGATGGTTAGAAGGAGCAAATTATTGCACTCTTTCTATGACTCACGCAGATAGCAGAGTTGCTGGAAGTCTATGTAATGGTGGTCTGACACAAACAAATTGTGCACATTTGATACACAGACTTTTTTACCCTAGTTTAAAGGTATTTTCTTACCCATTTTAATAATTTTTAGACTTCCTACAACAATCAAGCAATATATCAGGGTTTCAAGTTTGTTTGTTTTTTTTTTCACAGAAAAGCTCTGATTTAGATATTTGTATTAGTAGTGATGAGAACATCATGTTAATCTATAGATCCAACAAGATGAAGGGACCAGATCATCCTCCAGGGGTAATTCTGCTAACCTGAGCTCTGGCCCTTTTAATATGTAACTGTCTGGTGATGTTTCTTATTTTGAGGATGAGCTTAGGGGAATATCCTATGAGTCAATGAAAATTGTTACAGTGATTGAAGTTTAGGTTAAATGTTGTTGGAAAATTGATTGTGATTTTCAAGTGTAACAGGAAGAGTTGTAAAAGTTGGGTGGACAATGGGTAGAATATTTCTCTTCCTATAAGTGAAATAACAAGACACTTGAAGAAACAAAACCCACGTGTCTATTTGAAAATAATGGGATACGTTGGGTAGATGCCTAAGATAACTGAAAGTTGTAGGGATTTAAAAGAAACAATTGTGGATTCATATATAGTGACATTGATGATTTAATTTTATTCCCTCATTTTGGAAGTTGAAGGTCTTTGTTTTCATTTCCTCCCCTATTCTTCGAGTCAGTTTTCCTGAAAGTCTTTTTCCAACAGCCAGCCCCCAATTTCGCCATGCTGAGTACTGATTTCAGCACCACGGACAGCAACCACATGACTCAGCCCTCCTCCCGCACGTTTGACCAGGCAGGTCTAGCCACCTGGAGAACTTCCTGCTTGCTGACTTTTTCCTGGGTGGGAAAAAATGGATTAAATGAATTGAGTATGTAGCAAATCAGGTTTGCTGACCTAGGATAAAAATTATCTTCAGTAAGCAACACCTCCTCTTTCCCATATGTGGCTGTAGTGTGTCAGTCTAGGATATGTGTGTGCATTAAGAGAGAGGGGAGTCAGTTAGGGGGAAGACAAGTGTGCTCGCTTTCTCTCTACACATGTGACATCTTCAAATAAAGAGAGAAATCCCACGGAAGTGGTGTAAATTGAGAAACATATTGAACAGAAATAAAATAGGTGTCCTCTTTAGTGCCCTTTGAAGCACATAATAGCTTGCCTGTAGGTATATTTGCCCAAGGTTTCTCGAGGAAAGTAGCACAATAGCAACCATCCATGTACTTGCACAGCTGAGAGTGGAGGCCTGTGTTTTTCTCCTTCACTCACCAGGTGTTCTTTGTCTCCCATGTTCCTGGACTTTTAAAACTGTATCTCATTTTATGTTCACCTTCTCTATGTTGTTATAAGGGCAAAAAATCCCCTTTCTTGTCTACAAGATGGAAATTATAGTCACCACTTGAGGCTGCTTACATGTGTTTGTTTTGTGGGAAAAGCAGAATTTTGTGAAGAAAGATATTCTGAAAGTTTTTATTAATGAGAGTTACAGGGACATACCAAAACAAACCAAAGAGATTTGGAGAGAAGAGGATTGATCTTAAAGAAGAAATTAAAGGTAAGAGTAGAATGAATCACATATAAATTGTGGAGAAATACCTATTTGGTATTGACTTTCAAAATACTCAAATGGATAAGTAGCAAATTGAAGCTGAAGACCTTTTTGCCAAATCAATCATGATGAAGAGCTGGCATTCATGACTCATTTTCTGATTTTATTTCCTTGAGGTCCACAATTACTGTTTTATTGAAAAGAGATATTTTATACATTGACTTAGCAACGTACCCAGTCATCTTCAACTTGACAAGTCAGAACTATGAAATTTATTTTTTAAACTTTTCTGAAGGCAAATGATCCAATCTCTGTGTTCAGTGTGATTACCTAAATCTCAATCAGGATGGAATAATAAATGACAGACAGCAAACATCGTGTAAGTCCTGGTTAATATCTAAGTACTTCTCCACACCAGCTGGATTATAATAGGATCTAGAAAATGTAGTTTTATAGACATTAAGTCAGTTGGCCAACTCTTTTATCAGATTTAGTTTCATTGACTCATAGCTTGGGAAATATGGAAGTAGGAAAAAGCAAATGAAGTAAGATTTACATTCAGAGTACTACTCTCCTGTGTTTCTATAAAATATATTTTAAAATAAATAACAAAATATAACTAAGTCTTTTCACTATCAAGGCCAAACAGACTTCTCTTTGCTAAGGGAATTAGAATGGGGGGGGGTAAAATGCTTTATTTCAAACTTAAAATGAATCAATTACTTTTGATGTATCTATTGGGGAGGCTCTTGAGATGGCGAAAAGAGCATTAAAATTTTTACTTGATTTTAATAAGCATGTTATTTACAAGAAAAGAAGCTCACAATTTTTTAGGAAAGACATGCTAGTAAGTTTAGAAATTAATCTTTTCAACTGTTTGGTGAAAGCAATTTCTATCTCTAGGTAAATGGTCCACTTTAGAACTCAAAACTGCATGTAACATTTCAGTTGGCCTTGGAGGGAGGGGCTACAACAGAAGAGAAAAAAAAAGTTGGATTGGTATCCTGATAGGACAAAAGGAAGACAAAGGTTTCT